GGGTTTAGGGTTTAGGGTCTTTGCGGGTTTCTTTTGGGGGGGGTCTCTATAAAAAGGCAAGAAGGGTTCTATGTTATTTGTGCCAGGGCCCGTCATCCCTGATTGCTGCTGCACTGAGGTAACAACCCGGAACTCCGAAGCATCGCATCTTACGAGAAGTCCCAGTTTGCTGAGTCATGAGCATCGGCATCCACTTCCCCCATGCTTCCGAGGCTGGAAGACCTCCCTCCAAGGCCCAGCGGATTCCGGCTCTAGATTTCCGTGTCTTAGAAAGGTTTGATGTCGGATGCCTCCCTGTGAATCGTTTAGATCACCTGCTGGGTGGGCGATACTGGTGGTCCTGCAAGTCCCAGTTCCTGCTTGCCACGTTGGCCGCTTCTGTTTCCTCGTAGGCTTCGCAACGAGACTGGCGCACAATAGCCTTCCGTGCACTCATTCCTCGAGAGATGCCGGACCTGGCCTGAGCCCGACAAGCTGCAGATGGCGGACAGCGTGCAAGGAATGGACACCCAGAAACTCCAAGACCCCTTAATTAAGGAATNNAATTCATATTGGGGATCCTACTATAATTTAAGGTATATTCCTTAATTGAGGGATACTGGAGTCTCTGGGCAACAGCCATTGAGGGAATCGCCTGGCAAACTGACTCGTGGGCCACACCCAACTCCCAACGCTGACGGCCGGCTGCAGGGGGGCCGACTGGCAACCATGGTTGACCATGGACTTCAGAATGTTGATGGTCGCAACGATGTTGTTCTCGTAGTACCTGGTCCACTATCGCTCAGCCATCTAATCAAGCCTCATAAGGGGTCTTACGAGCCTTAGGAACGTTCATCCAGCCCAGGCGCAATCCTACTACAGATCCTCAGAATGATCCTGGCTTTTGGTATGCTCTAACGGCGCACAGCATTGGCTTTGCGACGGACTCGCCGACGGCCTCTCCGCAACGAGCCATTCAGTCTCCCGGCTGCACTCGTCTCGGGATCCAGGTAAGGTTTAGGGCTTAGGTAGGGTTTAGGGTTTAGGGTTTAGGGTGTCGCAATACTCTCAGATCTACGACGCTCCACGTCATTACTCTGGCACGCTCCTCCCCTGAGTGCTCATATCCACAAAGCACTCTTTTGCTGTTGCATGGCGGTGGTCTGATCGATCTACCTGGGTATGTGCCAGAATGATATCTCCGCCTTTCATTCTGCAGCGCGACTGAATTCTGGCGCAGACCCCGAAGGTGCAAATAAATTGCCGCGTACGCGTGCAAAATGGACATGAGCCGTTCCAGAAAAAATTACTGGATGCCATGTACGACCTGATGCTAGGACTCAGGGGGCAGTTGTGCATCTAGTACGTCCCAGTAACGCTGACTGCAAAATCATCCAATCCACAGATGCCCTGAACATTCACCAAATGCAGTGTTGAGCACAGTGCAGGCGTGCAGTGATGGCCTGCTGAAGCTTTCATCCTGAACAGCACTGGACCTGCTAGATCTGAAGCTGTCTCTCTATCCCTTGTGTATGGCTCAAGGGGCACCTGTCTCTCTGTCCCTGTACACATCGTCAGATATGGAGTGACTCGATCGATTGAAGAACGGCCGAAGTGTCAGCGGAGGCGGCTCCCAAAGAGACGCGGAGGATTGAAAATCTGAGCAAAGCCGACCAAATCATCATTAGCGCTTTCATCCCAAACCTTACTTCAACAGCCAAGGGCCGATGATGAAGGCGATTTGCGCGACATTGCCGTGTGTTCTCTGTACAGTGTCAGGAGCTGTGCACGGCATTAAGCAAGCTCACGACAAGGTGAGAAGGAATTCTACTGCACTGTTCCTCACATGTCTTTCGCACATTGGGGTGTAGGGTCAGCATTGGTAAGGGCGACTGGAAGACATCCGGGAAGTGCAATGCCTCCATTGTGCTGTTGCACGAACTTGCCAACACGTGTGGTCAGCAAGCCCCGCTAAATCAATCTGTGTCTCGACCTCGTGAAACTTGAAAAGCAGGGCCGACGTCTGAGAATAAGAATAAAGGCTATGATAGTAGATGCAAACTGTGCTATTTCCTTAAAGTCGTGTTGCCGGGCGAGGCAGAAGATAGGCTGTATAACCATGAAGAGGAGGGAAGGAAGCAAAGGAAACAGTTGTTCTGGACCCACAATACATACGGGCGGTGTATACCTGTCACCAGCTGATGCTGGCAGCCATGAGGGTCCATACAAGACGGAGCAAGTCCTCACAGATTTGCAACACCCTCCTCTTTTTCTCTGAGAGTCCCTTCAGGCCATCTCGACAACCTTGGAGAGGCACCTGCACGGAGGACTGCATCCCAATGCCTTGCTCTTTCACTTTGCAAGCACCATCATCAGCACATCGGCGCCAAGATTAGCACCTAAACAAATGCCGCTTGAAAGCAAAACCTCTGCCAGAGGCTGGGCTTCAATAGCGTATGCCAATGTGTTCTTGGCCTAAGCATTAGCACGTGCGAACTACAGCAGTTGATCTTGACCAACGTGCGCACACCTGTGTGGTGTATGTGTATGTGTATGTGTATGTGTATGTGTATGTGTATGTGTATGTGTATGTGTATGTGTATGTGTATGTGTATGTGTATGTGTATGTGTATGTGTATGTATGCATGTGTGTATATATATATATATGCACAGGTGCTCGTGTGCAGGGTTATGTGTGGGTATGCAAAGATATCGTAGAAACAGGAACGTGTTGGTGCGCACTTATAGACATGCGTTCATGCGAACCTGTAGACGTCTACATCTAGATCTACATAACTGTATATCTACGGATCTGTCTCAACATGACGATGCCTATGCAGTTGTATCTCTAAACCTGTATCTTCACCTGTGAGTAAATATAACTATATCCAAGCATTTTATATGTCTCTATTCGTGTCTATGTCTGTGCTCACACATCTATACATGTTTTTATCTATGTATTTAATGTCTAGCTGTATATATATATATATGCTTATGTAAGTTATGTCGCTGCATCTCAGCATGTACACACTTACACCTATATCTACATATACATATATATGTATGTATGTATGTATGTATGTATGTATGTATGTATGTATGTGTGTATGTGTGTATGTATGTATGTTTATATACATATGTACACCTCCACATGTACTGCCCGTTCTTGTGCATGGTCACGCGCATGCATCTAGAGGCCTGAAGCAGAGTTGCATCATGGGTAGCAGTGGGGTCCTAAACTCTGAACCCCAAGCCCTTTTCTTTTGGTGGGGTGAAATATCATTGGCTACAGACCCGCACACTGCAGAGCTAGGCGCCTCTTCGAGGTTCTGCATCTGCAAGGTTCACCTGGGTGGTCAGCTCATCCATACCCTTAAGCCGGACTTTTTCCGCCAGACAGACTACTACATATGTTATGCATATTGTGCCTACACATATATAGAATCTAGCAGATGTATGTATGTATATGTGTAGATATGTTCATATACATGAACAAACTCATATATATCTACACATACATACATTCATACTTACATACATACATACATACATACATACATACATACATACATACACACACAAATACATGTGTATAGATATATAGATATATATACATATATAGATGCATACATAAACTTGCACACCTACGCATGCAGAAACTGAATATGCTTACGATTATGTATGTGCAGACATCTGCCTGTACAATGAAAACGCGCACTTTCCCGCCGAATCAGACGGAAACAATGAAAGAAACTAACCCGTATTTCCGTGCATCTTCGCTCTCTCTGCAACCACATAAATCATACTCATGTACATATGCACAGAGCTTCTACGTACAAAACGCACATGTATAAGCAGTATCCACACAATTTCATGTCCGGCACACGAGAATGCAGCGGAAACAAATTTTAAAAAAGCTAGGACAAACACTGCCAAATGGCGGGCCACAACAAACAAAAGAGCAGCGGTAGCAGCAGCACCACCACCGCCGCCGCCGAAACCAACAACAACAGTTAACACAAATGCCAGAGGAAATTCCAATGTAAGAATAGCCGAGCAAGACGGATGTAACGTAGCGAGACTAACCATACTGGGCAAGAAGAGACACTAGTAAAATTTAACGGATGCCAAGTGGCCATCTTCACCATCGACACGGTGCCTCTGCTGCACAAAGAGACAACCCAGTGCGTTGGTCTTGTTGCGAGCGGCTTACAACGGCAGAACATGCGAAATCTCTATTCCGCAGACCCAAAAGGATTAGAAGAGTTCCCAAGCCCCGAAGCCTAAAACAACTTCACAGTTGAGTCGCCCGTCTCTGCAGTGAGCCGGGCATCCAAGGCCACCCTCGCATCGCAGAGTGTTGCAGAGAGGCACTGGGATCTTACGTGAAGCCTCTAGCAACATTTATGTACTTCGTGGGGCCTCATGTTTCTCAGTTGGTATGAAGCACCAAGGACATGTCGGTCCAGTACTATGCCTGGGTAGTCTGATCCCATGATGCGCAGCCTGATCACGCTGCGGTCTTACGGCCTAGGCGGGTGGCTCACGGAATCGCGTCTGGCATGGCCTGACCGTGGGATTACGTGGGACCTGACGGTGCAGCAGAGTAGCATGATAAGTGGCACAATCCACGTCTCTGCGATCATCCTCGGTGAGAGCATTGCGAGGACGATCTATTCCCTGCCGGATTTCGTAGCGACCCTACAGCGGCCTCGTGGATGCTGATATCACTGACATGCCCTGCAAGTTGCTCTGGTTAAGACGGGGCGGCTCTAATGCCGGCCTTGCTTAGCAACCAAGTCACAGGATCACCAAGCAGAGATCGAAGACGAACCAAAAGTCTCGTAGGCAATCTCTCCTCAGCGCACGCAAGCGATCGACGTACAAACTTGGGCTGGGCCAGCCCCAGAGGCAGAGGTAGAGCTCAAACTCACCCATGCACTTTGGGCTCGTAGCCCACTAAACCAAATGTAGGATTCACAGAAACTTCACCAAACTTCAGGGAAATAATCCCAGAAGTGGCGTGGCTCACTACAGCACATGTCCGCCTCGCTCGAGCGGAGAACTGCGAAAGCCACTGCCCACGCTGCAAAAGCAGCCCAGGCGCTTCTGTTGGAACGCACCAAAGCGGATCGACAGCTCCCCGACAAAGAAGGTAGTAAAGAGGTTCCTTGGAACGGGGTCGTGTCTGCATGGCGCTTCTCGCGTGTAGCAAACTCACATCTGCACAAAACCACCTTGCAGGCCGGCTTCTAACAGGAGGAGCCAGCTGCAACTGGAATGGGGTCTTTTGTTGGGCATGTCAAGCCATACTCATACATGGTTTATGGAAGACCGTTTCAACTAGTACTTTTTATTGGCATCGTACGAAACTAAAGTAACTAACTAGCTTCTTCTGACGTCATATCGTTCGTGGCCACATGGAACACCAAGAGAGTAGTTACTTCGGCTCAGTTCATGCAGGAATCAAAACTGGTGATCCCTCCCAACTTCTTTGTCAAAGCCTCCGAGCTCCAATGAGGGTGCCAGAGCCAAAACATCGCCAGAAAAGCAAAGCTAAGCTCAAGTGTTCTCAATGACCACTAGATTCTGATCCATCGAAATTGTGTCCTTCTCTGATGGCGAGACGAACCTGTCGTTCCCTGAAGGGTTCATCGACACAGTGCCGAATATTTCGAACCCCGCAGCCCCAAAGCCAACCTCGTAAATCCTCTGCTTACCAAGCACAAGCACAGCCGGTGTAAGCTTGACGATGATAGCCACCAAACTTCCTCTGGCCCTTGCACAAAACCGATGTACTTATGGAAGTCTTCCAAGCTCTCCGATTCGAGGCCGAGAAGCTCGGCCACCAGGAAGATCACAGACGCCTCCGTCAACACTGCGGCCGGGTTCAGGTCCGTGTCTACTGCCATCCTGATTTCAGGTTTGCGTTTCGGGCAGCTTCTTCCCCTGCTGGCTAAGTAGCTTTGGGGTTTCGGGTTCAGATTTTCGAGGAGTTTGGGATCCAGAGCACACAGAGCTGGAGACTTCTGCTTCGGCTCAAAAGGGGGCTTTGGCTTCGGCTCGAGACCTGACCTGAGCGGGCTGAGGGGTGCGTTCCAAGCAAGGCTCGAAGTAAGCTATTTCAAGACCTTGTCGAGCCCAGCTGGAGCGCTTGCATATGTTTCTAAGTCTTGCTAAATCTTATAACTGAAACCGTAACCATCTCGAAATGGTGTCAAAGTCGTCTTTCCGTTCTTCTCAGGCAGAACGTGGTGCCCCGTGACTCTCGCCGGCAACTAATTAAGTGTATTTGGCCTGTGGGGTTCTACGGCAAAGGTTTCGGGTCGGGAGTCCGCTGCACTGCTCGGGATGTGGGTGCAGGCATGACATGCAAAGCTTGCCGAGGCGCCACACCGCGTTCAGGAAAACGATGAACAGTGTAATGTTGTCAAACCACGTGCTGCGAGCGATGCCCTGCAAAAGGTTCGTGTGATCGCGATTTTATGACCAACACGAAGGCAGCAGCGTGGCTGCAATCCCGACTGTAAGATTCAGAGAAGAACGACGGCCACTTTTCAGGATTACGGCTCGAGTGACAGCATGCTGCACAGCTGGCCTGGCAAATGCCGGTCTCCCAGTACTGGTCGAAGACACTGTACTGAGGCTTCATGGATGCCTCAGCCGCTTGTTTTGACACAACCCGCAATGCAGTCAGCGAATACCTAGCAGACCTAGCAAAAACCGTGTGCCGAAACCTTGCATCCATTGCATTGGACTACAAACATCTCGCACAGGTCGAAAGTCTGATGGCATTCCTCTAGAGTCTTGGACATGGTGCAACATCCACCCGACTTCGGCCATGGCTAAAGATGGACAGCACAAGAACTCAAGGAGACCGGCAAACAGCGGTACTTTCACCAGATACGAAGGTATACCAGGCAACACCTAGACCCTCCCCGAATCTCGCCGACAGTTCTGTAATCTAAACCCCACAGAATATGCTGAACCCTGAGCCCCATCCTGTTATTCGGCCGTCGCCATCCGAAGCGAACCCTCTTTGTCTGCTCTGGCCAGCGCGCATGCGCGGATTCAGGCATGAGCTGGCAGGTGAAACCCTGAGTTTTACAATGACCATGTGAATGTGTGTATGTGTATGTATATATCTATATATATATATATCAAGTAGCGACTGTGGGACAAGGACTCTGTATGATATGACATACACCTGGTTCTTGCGCTTAAACTTTTTATATTGCTTATATAATTTGATATGCTTGCTTCTCCGTCGAGTTGAGCATGCGCCGTGTTCCAATTGAATGGTGTCTTTACGTAGCCGGAGGAAGAAGATCCTCCGTGAAAGGGTACCCCAGCCTTTGGGCGAAGGACTGGTATTTCTGCAGCAAATCTGTGGGCATGGAAAAAACGGCGTGCTGCGCCACCTTCATGCAGCCAGGGTCGTTGGTGTGGTTTGTGTAGTTCGGCTCCGGGTGCCGATGCAAATCTGCCACGCCAGCCCAGTCCAGGGCATTCGTTCGTTGTTCCGAGCTCGCAGGCACACCTTCGAACCAAAAGTCCAGTAGTCGATTCACTTCCTGGTCGAAGCCTTCTGAGGATCCTGTCGCAGTCTCGTAGCTGAGGCGCAAGGTGTCGTTTCGGGGATGCTCGTAAACACCAGTCATGTTCTCGACCAGTCCCATCATGCGCTGGGCCACGAAGGCAACGCCCTCTTGGGGCCCCAGCCTCTCCACGGTGCCCTGGGGAAAGAACATCGTGTTCATTTCCTCGTTGCCGCTGTGATGGTAACAGTAAGCAGAAGCGATCATGACCAGCGGGTTCCGGACGGGCCCAGCCACCCGAAGGCTCCTCTTCTGCCCAGCTCTCTGTAGCTCCCTCCCATGTATCTCCAGGGAGTACATGTCGATCAAGAACCGGACGGAGGAACCCCAGTTGGAGCATTCACCTGCAGAGTAGCACGGATCTCCCCAAAAGCCCAAACGGTCCTTCGGCAGACCAAAGGCAGCCCACACTGCCGAGTAGATTCCGAACATCATCTGGTTTCCACTTTTGTGAAAGCCCACGGCAAGGTAGTTATGAAAATCCCAGGGGAAATTCTTCGGGCTCTGCTTCTGCAGCTTGCTCTTGCCTATCTGTTCGGCCTTCCTCTGGACGAGGCACGTCCCTGGCGGCCCTAGCACAGCATCATTTACGGCGAGGCTCCGTGTCAGGAAGCAGAAACCTACCAGTGCGCCAGTCCTGCCAAACATCCCCGCTGTGGCAATCCAAAAGAGCGGCTCGTGCTAACCGACAGAAGGCGGAGCCGCTCGAAATTACATGAAAGTTTGCACGACATGAAGGCTCAGTGGGGTTTCTCGTGAGCCTTGAGCCATAGTTACAGGCCAGTTTCCAGACAACCCCAGATGTTCGGTGGACAGCATTCGAGCAGGCCCATACACTGCATGTAGTTGCTCTCTGCGGCAGACTGCAACAAAACCGACGAACGCATTATGAGACGGTGTGATTTCTAGGGCTCCATAGTGCGAACCGTGAAACCGCTACTAGCCGTTACTAGACCAAAGCATTCTGGCCCAGAAGGGCCCGGATGCACATGCTACCCCCAGCAGACTGTATCTTGAAAACCCGCGCTTGTAGCAAAACTACACTGCACGGTCGCACCCCCTTGGAACCTTCGCCGGGACCACTTGCAGCAAAGCCGCCTCTTTGGCCTTCCTGGGCTCCGGGGTCTCAGGCTTCAGGGCTTCGACTCTCACAGCTGGGACATCGCAGCTTAGACGTGCTACTCTGACGATGGCTTCCATATCGACTTTATCATCTGCAGTGGTACCTTCTGCAGCCTGCTGCCCTAAAGCCCAACCAACAAAATCACTCCTCACATCCGCTGCGGCCTAGTTCGAGGACGCGGTCTTTTTAATCACTGCGCATCGCCTTGGTTTCGGAGAAGGGTTCTGGCCTTCTCACGGGCGAGGACAGGCACGCAAATGAGCATGTTCACGCAAGTAAAGGCCTTGCAGCTTCGGGTGTGACGTCTTGCCACAATTGCCACAATGTCCAGCTTGTGATCTACACTATCACAAATGCGTGCTGCTGTCCTCCGCGGCAGGCTGAGTGAACCTCGTAAGAGGCAAATTAAAGTTCTCGAGGAAAAGAACCCGCTTCTGGAGTGTAAGTTGCAGCGCGACAGGCGAAGAGGCCTCTAAAAGCTTGGCCACTTCCAGTCCCGCTGCCTTGGGAGAAAAGGTCGCGTTGCCGGACCAGGAAGAACTGTGAGGATGCCTGCTCTTAGGATTAACAGCTATGGCAATGGCAGCTATGGCTTCTGCCTGCTGTGACAACGGTTTGAGGATGTTTGAGGTCTGGGGAATAGGGTTTGCGCACTGTCCGAGGCAGCTCTTCCTGGACGCGAGAGGGCTGTGCGAAGACACTGAAACCCTGAAACCCAGGCCATGCGCTGCACAACGCGAAACCAACATCTCTGCATTGTCTACAAGGCTCAAACCTCTTATTCCTCATAGCCCTGATAAAAGTTGCCTGAAAAAAATAAACCATCAGCGCAAAGTGTGGGCCCAGCTCTTTTTCCACAAACCCCCGGTTCTGCTACGAGTTTTTTGTTGCGAAATGGCGCCCTCGCTCAGCTGAGGAGCTTGGCCTGCTCGGGGCTTCGTCCCAGCCACTGAACTCGACCGGAGTCGAGGTCGTAGACGCCTCCTTGGATTTCCACTTGGCCGGACTTTACCTTGTCGCGGATATCGGCGCTTCCCTGGATGAGGTTGTTGATGGTGTTGAAGACATTTACCTTCACCGCATGATCTGCTATCTCCTTCTCCGAAGCCTTGTTGCCCAGCTCCTTGTGCGCTGTTTCTGCCACGCCAGCCAGACCCGCCAGGAGACCCTCCAGGGCTCCCTTGCCCTGTGCAGCTCCACCTCCCTTCAGGTAGGTGGCCGTGGCACCTTTGATGGCACCGCAGGCGGTATGCCCGAGCACGAGCACGAGTCTCGTCTTGAGCGCGGCTGTGCAGAACTCCAGGCTACCCACGATGCTTCCCCTTGCTTGAGTCACTGTGTTTCCTGCGTTTCGCATGACGAAGACATCACCCGGCAGCACATCGAAAACCAGCTCCAGGGGGACGCGTGAGTCAGCGCAGCCGACCTAAGTTACCAAGGTTTGCAGCCTGTGTGCCCAACTGCCCAACAACTGCCAGCAGAAACAGACACGGCCTGAGCGGCCGACGATGGCGGTGTGCGGGGCTTGGCCAATGGTTGCCAGGGCCTTTCGCATTTGCCCGTCAAACTTGCCGGCCAGAGTGTTGCCATGGACGAAGCGCTCATTGCCCTCCTTCATGATCTTCAGCGCGGCCTCAGGTTCCATCGGGGGGTCCTGCGGCGTCCGCACGGATGCACGGCCCAAAGCCACATCCATGGAGGGAGGCAATGAAGACTTGGACGCCAGGAGAGCTGCTTGTTCCGGAGACCGGCCGAGGAACTCCACCTTGCCAGTCTCCAGGTCGTAGATGCCACCTTGGAGGTCCACCTTGCCGCTGGTCACTGCATCGCGAAGTGGCTGACTGAACTTCAGAAGGAACTCCATCGTCTGGAAGACATTCACCTTCACGGCATGAGCAGCGATCTGCTCCACGGTGGCACCCTTCCCCAGCTCTGTTGCGGCCTTTTCCGCGACGCCGGCGAGGTCGACCAAGAGCCCTTCCAGGGCACTTCCTGGAGAGCCCTTCTCACCCTTGGCATCCTTCATCGCCAGGTAGGTCTGTGTGGCACCGACGATGGCACCGCACTTCGTGTGGCCGAGCACCATTACCAGACGAGAGCCCAGCTTGCCGGTGCAGAACTCCAAGCTGCCAAGCATGGCACCTTCGGCGTGAGTGCAAGTGTTGCCCGCGTTTCGGAGAACGAAAATCTCGCCCGGCATGGCATCGAAGACTGTCTCGATGGGTGCCCGGGAGTCAGCACAGCCGATGATGGCCTAAGTTACCAAGTGTTTGCCGTCAAAAAAATCAATAGTCTGTGCGGCCGGCAACTGACACCAAATTAAAGTTAAGGCATGAGAAGCGAGACGCGGTGTGCGGGGCCTGTCCTGACTTGACAAGGGCCGTCTTCATCTTCGCGTTTGCTGCAACGCTGGCAGGAGTGCCGGCGACGAAACGATTGTTTCCGTCCTTGAGCATCTCCATGGCCTTCTCTGGCGACACGGAGGCATCGTCGCCTGTGCGGACGCCGTGGATGCCACGCTTGGCAGCACCCGCCCTGCTGATCCCAAGCATCGAGGGGGGGATTGCCGCAGAAGCCACGCTCAGGAGCTCTGCCTGCCTGGGCGATCGGCCCAAAAACTCAACCACGCCTGTAGAGAGGTCGTAGACACCGCCTTGGATGTCAATCTTTCCGCTCTTCACCGCCTCCCGGAGACCCTTGCTGTACTGCAGCAGGAAATTCATCGTGTGGAAGACGTTCACTTTCACTGCATGAGCCGCCACGAACTCCTCGTCTGCCATAGGACCCATGTCGTACTCTGCCTGCTCCGCCACTTCACCAAGGCCTTCCAACAAGCCCTCCAGTGCGGACTGGGATTGTGCCGCCTGCTTCTTGCGGGCAAAGTGAGCCTTGGTGGCGCCATAGATGGCTCCGCACTTGGTGTGGCCAAGTACCATCACAAGACGGGCCCCGAGGTTGCCAGTGCAGAACTCCAAGCTGCCGATCATGCTGCCTTCAGCATGTGTGCAGGTGTTGCCCGCATTTCGGAGGACGAAGATGTCGCCAGGCAGGGCGTCAAAGATGACTTCCACGGGGGCACGCGAGTCTGCGCAGCCGACGATGGCCTAAGTTACATACCATGTGTTCGACATGAAAGCAAGGAAAGGTTCAACAACCGACAGTAGACAGAGAACAGGCATGGACAGCGAGTGGCCGTGTGCGGAGCTTGGCCATCATCCACAAGCTCCAAGCGCTGGCCGTTGCTCGTGGTGGTAGCCTGGGGGGTGCCCTTCACGAAGCGCTGATTTCCTGCACGGAGCATCTGCATCGCCTCGCCCGGCGACACGGAAGCGGACTTGGTCGTACGCACCTTGAGATCTGCCATCTCTTGCAACTGGTGGCCTGAAGGGGCAAAAATCTCGCAACGGTGATTTGGTTGTAAAGGCTTGCGCCCAAATGGCTATTCATGTAATCAAGTCTTGAACTCCCATGTCAGCGTGACTCTGTCTTGGAGATCTCGCTTCGCGGCACAGCAATTCCACTTCCGACAAAGCGTCTGGGCCAGGCGGTCTGCGCCCTTCATCACCGCAGGCAGCTGCGTGCGCATCCGTTTGGGCACCTTGCGAGCTGAAAACATTCAGGGCTCGCGAGACTTCTTAGCCTTTCGGAAGTTCCCGATACGAGAACAAATCCACGGCACCAACCTGCCTGCTTGACTTCATGGTTGCCAGCATAAGACGAATATCTACCAACTGCCAGTACAAAGAGTCCGGGGAATGGAAGAGCTGTGAGTTGCGGCGACAGCGGCAACAAATGCACAAGTACGCCCATGCCAGCACCCCACAACCCAGCCAACCCACCCTCACAGCGCTCCGTTTCTCGAGTTCACTCCGGGCGACCGGAGGCTTTTTCTTCTTCTTCGACTCCGAGTCTTCAAAAACCACAGGATCCTCAAAGGGCGAGTTTTAGAGTTTAGGGGCTTTAGATGGCTTTAGGCTTTTCGGGCCGAGGGCTCATGGGCTTCTCGTGCTTGCGCTTGGTTTTTACCGGGCTTCGTCCTTTTGGAATCTGCTGGGCTACGATCGGGATTTAGGCACGAGAGTTGAAGGTTAAGGCACATGTACGTGTAGGACAAGGAGTGCAAGCACTCAACATGCGAATAAAATTGGCCCACACCCTTGAACAAAATCGCATGCCTGAGAGTCTAGCTCGAGCAATAGGTCCTTGTCAAAGCAAGAGCACACTCATTTCTAATTCCAACTCCATGCCAACGACAAAGACTCGCTTGGCTCGAGATGTTCCGTGTGCCAACGAGTATAGCACGTTGTTGCTTCCGTTCGAAAACCGCATGGGTGCTTCACTATTTTATAGCCACGCTGTAGTTGGGTCTGTTTGTGGTGGCATGCTCGTCATACAAGTGTTTCTAATTCCTTCAGAACTCCAGAACTGCCAACAACCCTTGAAGGCCCTTGAAGTCAGCGACGGGTCCGTCTGAGTCCACACGGCCATGCATGGTGGGGCTTCCTCAGATTCTAACAGCTGCGTTGTGTTCCAAAGCTGGTCTCTTTCAGTGATGCGATTCTGTGTGATACATCCACGAAACTTGCGCAGCAAAAGACAAATCTCTATGTAGATGAAGCAGCACTATGTGCTATGCACGGAGGAGTTCTCACGTGCTGTGTGCAAGGCCGAGATTCCGTCTGGGTCTGAAACCTTGCAATCAAGGATGCTGAAATGCACATGCCCACTACTGGCTTGAGGGTCGCAGGGTTTGCCGGGCTTCGGTATGTTTTCCTGGATTTGTTCGGGTATGCTGGTGATGCGATGGAAATCAGCATCGAAAGCATGTTGATCAGAATTCCACTCCACACAGCCGACAACAAGCTTTGAACTGAGCTGAGTTGTCTTGAGATGATGCAGTTTATCTCATGATGCGCATGAGTGCTGCACGCTTTCAGTCCAGCATTGTACGAGTAGGCTTAGGGCCAGGGCTGTCGCAGGGCTTGCTTGCTGTCTGCTTAGATTAGTGCTATGCCCACGTCTGACTGGGGCGATAAGTCTGAAAACCCAGGGCAGTCGTCCCTTCCAATTTCGCTTTCCGGGTACGCGCTGCCTGTGATGCCTGCTACTGTGTTTCTCTGCAATGTGCATTGCCAAGGCCTCGCGCATGCAGCCAGGCCGCTCTCGTAACCGCCGAGTCACCTTGCATGGAGAGCCGACTGGGGGTGAGGGGCCTTACGCCATTCCGCGCTTCGGCGCGCTACACAAGCATCGTAAGATTCTAACGAAGTGAAACCCTCAGCCCTGCCTTGGCCTGCTTGGCCAGGCTCTGCAGAGAGCTGAGCGCTGGCGCTTCTGGGCTGGGGCCTCAGGACTTCTGGAATCTGGGCGTCAAGGCTCGGGTCAAGGCTCGTGGATTGGTTGGTCTGTCTGGCGTGGGGAGCAGAGAAAAACCTTCGGCATAGTAAGGCTGCGACTAGCCGCTTCCATGGGCATGATCACAGAAGATCTCGACCGGTCGTTCACCTGCGCACAGCACAGCGATGTGCTTGGGGGCGCGAGGTCTTGGTCAGGCCTTTCACTCTTGGAGCTTCCAGCAAGCGTCACACCGAAGCGACAACTCGCCATGCTATACTGCACCCACAATGGCAAAGCTGCGGCCGGGGAGCACGAGTTCAACAAAGTTGCCTCCTCTTTCGCCTACCTCACTTTTTTGAACCCGGAGCTTCTGCCTAGATGCCGGGAACAGCAAGCAGCTGCGCTGTTTGCCAACGACGACAAGCACGAACCCAAGCGGTTCTCTACCTCAAACCATATCCCTTTTGCATCCAGGACTCTTGCAAGCAGCCGGCAAACCATATCCCTAAAAACTAAAACCCCGAAACACTCTTTGCGCACGTCCGTTCTATTCAAAGTCCTACCACTTTAAACCATGAATCTGTAACACCACGCCTCAAAACGTACCCTAATTTCCTAAAGTCTTAAAAAATATAAGCATGACGCCTTAAATTCTCAGGTGCGCTATGACAAAAGCCGGCCCGGTTTGTGTCACGCGGACCCGCCTTGTCGGCCAGGACCTGCACAAAGTCTAACCTGGGTTTCCACTCGCGCAACTCGCACAAGGCGGGCAAGGCTGTGTTCAAGATTCAAGGCATTCCGCGCTCACACTCGGATACTCCACCCAAGGCAGTTTGGGCGTTTATTTCTTGAACATTTCCGCAGCTTGCCTAGCAGTCGCCGGTCTGGTGGACTTCCGGACCATTTCAAGTGCAGGCCCTTTTGCTGTGCCCAGTTGCTGCAACGCTTGCTGGATGCGCGAAATCTCCGCCAGCACGGTCCTTGCCGACTTAGAAGTTGATCCTTTTTGATGCCATGTTCTACTGCCAGCTGGATGCCGGGAGCCTACACAAGCTAAACTGAAGAGATGTGGTCCTCATGATGCTTTCCCCGTGCTCTGCGCTCAGACTCTCTGTACGTCTGACAGAAAGCTCTTACCAGATGACGGGGGGTGACGGGTGAGTCAAACCACAACTCGAAAGGTTTCAAAACTGTGTCCCCCTCCAGGATCTAGAATAAGGAGGAAAGGATTAAATGGTCTTTTCCGGGTTCAGGTCTTGCCGCTCCAAAATTGCTAGCTTCAGGACGCATCATCTATCCTTTCCCGTGTTCCCGTCACAAGACCCGTATGTAGATTTTGCATGCACCCCGAAGCTCTGTCTCAAAGCCAGAAGCCCTGAGCTCCTGAAATCTGCATCCGCCTGCTTCCGACCACGGTAGATGTCCGCTTGCACCTGCTTTAAGCCGGCGGCTTGTGGGAAATCGACAGGGTCCTCTCCGGGCTCTTTGGGAATCGACGTCGTTTCCAAGCGCTTCCAAGTCCGACAATTCATCATATGGTTCAGGACTAGAAGGTAGATCTGTGCATTACCGCACAAAGAGGAAATAATGGAGCTGGGTGTGCTACATGTGCCCGCGCTTAGAGGCGTTCAGTCGCAAGTCGCAATTCAACAGACGATAGCCGATAGCCTCGTGGTATTAGCTTTTCAGCTAGCCACATTAACTTATGGTATAAGCATAGTAAGGAACCCTACGGGAGACTTGAGAGCCGCACCCTGACACAGATGGCAGCTGTTCAGAGTCTACCACCAAGGTTCGCACGCATCATGCACCGCTGCACCTGCTAGCTGGTTGCAAGACTTCTCCCGAACACGCAAACACAAACAGAACCCCTCAGCTTCATTGCAAACCTCTCCTGTGCCTCGGAGAGGTCGATATTCAGGACGCTCTCGCGCACTTCAGCGAGATGCTCCAGCACACTATCTTCGAGCAGCCTTGGGCAGTTCTTGAGCACTTTGCCTAAACGACATGCGGGGATGAAAAACAATCTATTCTTCAGGGCTCTGCGACGGCTTGGCAAGGAGCAACAGCCCTGCGCATGTAGCTGGCACTAAGGAGAGGATGCCAAAACAGCTCTGGGGTTGAGATTGCATGAAATGGCCTTTCAAGCAAACGGCTTGGGAACCTCTTGGAAGCTGATGGAAGCTGCATGCCACGTCTCTGCTGCCCCCCAGTGAGCTGCTATGTACGGCACTGAACTGGGTTGACTGTGCGGTTGAAGCCACAAAGCTGCACCTTGTACCTGCGTGAAATCTCTGCCTGCAGCCAAAGCTGCGTGCCCAGCTTCTCCTGATAGCGAACCTCCTGCACATGCAGCGAGTCGAGCTCCCTGGCGAGGGCAAAGTGGCGGAGGGCATGATGCTTCGGATTATTCGACTTTCGACCTCAAAACATAATTACCTTTTCTTGCCAGGAGAACGCAACGCACAAATGTTTGAGATGTCGGCTTGCTCAGGAAGTGCTGCTTCCACAGCACACCCCTTTCTGGGGCTCCTTCGTGCGTTGCGCGTTCCCTGACCCACCACACCCGTGAACCCCTGCACCGCTACACCCTTCGTGAATGACAACTCTTGCTGTCCCCTACAGTTAAAACCATAACCTTCTAAACCCGTGTCTTCTACTCCAGAAACCCGAAGCCCCAAAGCCTCAACCCCCAAAGCCTGTTAGAAAGCCAGCTTTGTGAGGCTCGGACTTGCTCTGCAGAAAACCCAAAAACCACAGCACGTGGCCTTGCAATCCTGCCCGCGGCTCCGAGCAGCGCATCGGAGGCATCTGCCGGGCACTGCGACCGCGGGGTTCAGGGGTGGGCTTGGCTGGGCGTTGAGGCTTCAACGAGTGGGCTCAGGATTCTGGCTTCAGCATGACCGCAGCACCTCGTGCCTTTGCAGAAAGCTTTACTACAAGGTTTAACTAACACGGTCGAGTAAGGGGATCACATTGGCTATCGGACACATGATATATGGTGTGAACGTTTTGTTTCGGAAGGGGTCACTGAGGTCTCGCAGGGTTGAGGAATGAAGAAGGTTTCGGCTCTCAGCAACTGGACAGTCACGCTTTCAGGGTCTCGCTGTGCAGGTTCGGAGTTTGGGCTTACAGAGCTGCGAAGGATTAGGGCGCTCTCGAGCTTTCGCATGGTGAAGCTTCGGCCTGAAAGCAGTACCGGCTAGAAACTTGCTAAACACCCTCTGCTTCCTTCAGGGCCTTTTCCTTGCAGGGTCTGCAGCCATCTGTCTTCGAGACATCCTTGCTGTAGGAATCGCTACAGCTTGCTTGCCCGGACCGTAACACAGCACATAACCCTCACGAGCGAACGGTGCCGCACCGCAAAGTCCAATCATCTTCTCCACCGAAACGTCCTGCTTTTCTGCCTGGGTGGGCACGGGGGTGCAGTGCTGCAGGACACATGAGACCGATGCAGGGAACAACGTCGACGAGCAACAGCATCGATGGTTTAGTCGACAGCTGAGCTCTCAGCCACGAGTCAACCAAACAACCACAAGCATCACACCATCTCTGCCGAGCTGTTACGACATGCCTACCCCTGCTGCAAAGTCTGCATGAATAAATAGTTCAATGCCCTTAAACCCCAACCCACCAAGAAAACATGTCTTGGTAGCCATGCAGTCCAGCAGCCATGCGTGCCACTTTATCGTCAAGCTGCCGCACCATGGTCGCAAGCTCGGAGCCTCACCCGGCTACTGCATACGCTCTGCTTTCTCACGTGTCATGAGCATCTGTATGTATTGTGTGTGTGTGCGCGTTCATGTAATGATGCAAAAGGCCGGGTTAGTGCGGGGCCTCTCGACTCGACAAAGCAAGGTTTGAAAAAACTGAAAAAACTTTAAAAAATCCATGAATTCGTTTTGGGGCCCCCTATCATGAAAAGCCTACACCAATCCGGCTTTTTCGTTGCATACATAAACAAAGATACATACTTCACCATTTAAACTTATACATCTACATACAAAGCATATGAAGTATGAGCACATACAACAGCAGGTACTATATATCAGATAGTCTACGATGGTCCTGCATCGGCTCTGTACCCATGAACCCACAAGACGTTCGGAGACAAGGCCTACAAACTTGCGCCAGAGGCTATACTTAGCTCTTGCTGTTACGTACTACTCCGATTACGTGCTCTTACTGGTACAACTCCAGTCTTCGTCGGAAATGGAACCAGATATTGCAACAACCGCCCTGGCGCATCGCAAGGCCTGAAGCGTTGATTTTCAGGTCGACCTGGCGAGACCCAACAAATCTGCTAGGGGTGGTTGCGGGTTTAGACTGCCCTCTTACTGCTTTGGGTCTTTACAAGCACCCGCCACATGGCCAACACGCTGCCGTGACTGGTGCTTGGGGTGCAATGGCCCAGGCTTTGCAGAGGGTTTCGGCTCTGACACTCGCCCAAGAAAGGCAAGGCTTCGCGACAAGCCGTCCGACAAGTACCTGCTCTTCCGTCCAGAACCAACGGACCATGAACCCCACCATCCGGTGGCCTGGCTCAGCCGATGCCCCAGGACGGAGGACATCTCACGCTGCTCTCGCCTCGGATCCCCGGCTCAAGGCCCGGCTCGGCTGGGTTTCAACACGGTACGGGCGACCTTCGAACAAATCGCTGCTTATGTCTGCAGTTGTGTGCGCACATAGTACATATAATATCTCATATAATATACAATCAGATACACCTGTACACGTCAGCAGAGAGAGCGAGAGAGCGAGAGAGGGCCAGAGACTGTAAACAAAGAGAGCGAGAGATCTGAGGAAGCTATCTGAGGCTTTGGAAACATCAAGCCATAGGTGTATAGTAGAATAGCATCAAAAATATCAAAGTATGTTTTCTTGCTCCCTGAGAACTTTTGAGATTTAGCGCTCTGGCGTTCACCAGATAGGGTTGACATAGGTTTATTGGAGATGTTTGCGACATCGGGTGAGACAACTGCCTAGCACGGGGAACTCTGTTCTGTCTCCTGGGAGGTTTATGATAGGCTGTAACCGGATACAACTTCATTTTTGATTATTCACGGACAAGCTCTCACTGGAAGCGAACGGCTCAAGCTTACACGACCTGTCATAAGGGGGGCACAGTCCCACTCTTAGCCCTGTAGGATGCAGAGACATCAATCGACCCCGGGTGCGAATAGTGCGAAAGCTTCTGTACCGGCGCGAGGCGCGGGAGAGACTCTGAAACCCGACTCTTTGGAAATTCTTTGGTATCTCCGGTCTCGCCCTGCAACATTTGCAAAGGGCCCGGCGCACTGACGTCAATCTGATCTATGACCTGGCAGGACGAAGTGAGTGAGCGAGGTTTACGGCTTGGTCTGCCAGACGATTCCAAACTTGCAAGGGGACTTTGGCTTCTTGCTTGCAACACCTGTCGGAAAATCCCTGAACCTCCGTGAAGATTCATCTCTGCAGCCACGACCACCACCACCACCACCAGCCAAGCAAACCCAGAGGTCTGATGCCGACCAGCACTACGTCGTCGGTCCAATCTACCGAAGCAGTTTTAGAGCCAAGCCCTTCAAGAATGCTTGACAGGCACTACCGCAAAGCGACAGGCACTGCCGCAAAGCGAGCGATGCGCTACGATGCAACAGAGGCAACAGAGGGTGTCGGGTTTCCAGCTGTACATATCATGCCAATCTAGGCCCTAGGCTCGAAGATCCGGCCAATGTGGCTTCATGAAAGCTAACCGGGCAAAGGCAACAACTTGATCGATATCGACCCCTATAAAGCTGTGAAGGATTCGTCATGACACTATCCAACAGCCATGCGCCCGCACCCAGAAGGAGCCTTTGTCAGCCTCAACTTCTCTACAGACTGGACAGGCCCACGAACCCATTTGGCTCCCCCCCTCCCCTCCGCGCGCCGGGGAGAAGTCTGGCTGTGGTGGCGGCACAGCAGCCAAAGCAGCGAGTCGGGACAGCTGGTCCTCAAGTGCAGAAAATGTCACCTCTCGTGTATTTGTTTTCGTGGCCACGGCCTTGGGCTGCGGGCCGGTAGGGGGCGGAAGTCTTCGGATTCGATGAAGTACGGAACTCAACGCCTTCTGGCCTTCTCTAGGCTTTGAATGGCCGAACCACAGACTTGGCATCAGGCGCTGAGCACCTTCATCTGCTGGGAGAGTGGCGCTTCGTGCGTCCTCGCAGCAGCAAAGGTGCGCTTAACCTCCGTGGTATGCAACAGCCAATCAAGAGACCAGAAGCTACAACTCGTGCCAAACTCAGAATAGCAAGGTCACCTAAAGTCACCTAAACAGAGTACAGCTCTTGTATGTAGCAGCTTGACTCTGCTCAATCTGTAAGCCCGTACTTTCGGTGCAACAAGGCCCTGTCCTGATGACTTCCTGAGGCAGCAAACTGGATTCAAGGATTCCGCAGTTTGATCTCCGTACCGAACCTTTGCTGAAGTCTTGCTAATCCGAGATTGACCAGGGGTCCGTGTGAATCGACGGCCAAGTGTAAAAACCCCGAATGCTGTGCGGAGCACGGGCTGCTATGACTCGCAACAACAGCTGCAGCGGCATTAGTAGTCGTGGCAGCCGTATTGGTCGCCCTCGAAACACATGCAGCCATCAACATCACCAGAATCGAGATCACGATACTGACACTGCTGAACTACACAATAAGAACAACCTACCGCTTACTAACAACACAAGAGTTATGTAGAGATGACCAACCGCAGCCGAAACCACAATAGCAGTACCGTAGCAGGTTTAGCAGTAGCGGCAGGAAGGGGCGGTGATGGGGAGGAGCGCTGGGGGCTAGATTTAGGGGCGCCCATTCAACCTGCACGGAATTATTTTTGAAAGAGGATAGGGTGCCATACCTTCGACACCACTGAGAATGGTTAGTAAGCCGAAATTCCCGCTGAGTCCTCACACGACCTCTACCTCCTGAGCCGAACAGTACGCAAAAAGCACAAACCCAACATCAGAACGAATTCGACAACCTGCACAGGTCCACAACCCTCAACGACCCTTCCTACTAAGCCCTGAGCCCCCAACTCAACACAACTCCCAGGGTGGCGAGCCAAGACTCGGCGACCTCCGTGCGGAGTGCGGCGACGGCCGACCTGAAGAAATCCAACGGGCACGACGCCAGAAGGTGCAGCAAGAGTTCCTACGTGCTCGGCAGCAGTAGTAGTAGTAGTAGCAGTAGTAGTAGTAGTAGTAGTTTTGTCACCCACTTGGCACGTCGACGACAGCACTGCAGGGTCTTGACTACTGACGAGGTGTAGGGCGAATCGAGGCTCTCCAGT